ACGAAGACGGTGTGTATCAATCTTGTTGGTAAATATCGTAAATTGACTAAAATATCGGCATATATTTAAATGCTAAATCCAAAGTACAATTTAACTACTAAATTTAAAATATCAGTTATCTCGGCTTAGGACATTTCGAAATTCTAATACATAACATTTCTAAGCAGTATACTGTAGTATCCTTACCATTAACTCAAAATCTACCATCATATGCTACTAATATCTGTAACTATCAAAAACTGGTTCCAGTCAAATCACATGAAAGTTTGACATTTGCTCTATAAAATATTTTCACCATGAATGCATAGATCTCAAAGAAAAATGAAAGCAACTGATGAAAGTTAAATACACATTTGAAATAAAAACATTTAGTTTTGTAATGTTACATATTAATATTATTTCATACTTTCATAATGTATTCATAATATGTAACACGATATTTTCATTAAACTGGTTATTCTTTATATTATACTCTTTCACCAGAAAATTCCAAAACATGTTTTATATATACACGTTCTGTAACGATACACATCTTAAAACCTGTGCAATTTGAACTTTATCGCATCCGTGCAAAGTTCTTTCTTTATCTATTTGAAAGTGTTATCACTTGTAAGATAAGCGGTACAAGAAGAAATCAAATTCGTGAGACATGTATATGGTATTAAATTAAGCAAACATATCATTAAAACTGATGAATTTAGAATACATACATAATAACGGTTTTCTTAAAGAAGAAAACCAGATTCTCTATTCCTTATAAATCACACTTTATCTTCACATTTCACATAGTAAGTTTACACTTTTCATAGCGTTAAACTTTACTAATTTAATCCAGTTTGAAATTCCCAAGTATATCTATAAGGAGTTAAAACATTACACTTGCTCCATTAATTGTACTTGATTACAACATGGAGAACTAATTATATATAAAAAGTAAATCGTTAATTACTTTTATAAATGCACAATAAAAACTTTATTTGGCGGACGATCAAAAATAAACAATTTTCTTTAAGTTGCCATCAAGAGAAACAAAACATGCATGGCAAGAGGAGGGAGAGACCTTATAAAAAGGAGGTTTCATTCATTAAACATTATGAGGGGTAGAACGAATATATACTTTTTTGTATAACGAAGTAACATTTATTTCCAAAATTGTGCATTAACACCATCTAATACTTCATCTAATTAGTTTCACTTAAAAATTGTTTTATTTAAATCTATCGAATGACCTATGTTTAGACAGTGTATTTAACAAGAGGAGTATTTGAACACCTTTTTGTTGCATGTATAACCTTTATGTTCATTAAGCCGATATTTTAAGTTACAATGTCACATGTAATTGCATTTATAAGTTATTGATCTAAAATGAAAGATGTGGTAACTAGGATTGAATGTAACGTTGATCAAATTACAAATTGTAAAATTAAAACTATGATTAGGTGACAATGCCGAGATGTAATTTACACATATAAAATTAAAAATTAACAGTATTTTGACAAAACAGCTTTACAGCCCTTAAACATAATGCTAATATTACACAAGCTGACAAGGGAAGGTGTGTGGTGCTGTTAAACAAATGTGTCTATATTCCTAGTGTACGTCAATTATAAAATGATGGTTCAGATGTTTTTCTTAAAAGTCTATTTCGTTTGTTGTTGAGCACAAAGCTACACAATGGGCTATCTTGCTCTGCTGACCAAAGTATCGAAACCTGTTTCTTTTTTTTAGCGTTATAAGCTTACAGATCCAGTGATAAAATTTCATAACCTTATTAAGCAAATACGTTGATTAATGCATAGCATTATGATCTGATAGAAAAATCATATGTTTTATCTCGCTTCTATGTATTAGTTAAGACTCAAAAGTTAAACAACAATTTTATATCTGTTCTATCTAGAATGATCATTTCTTCAAAGTAAATTGCTCGGCGATTTTCGTATTTGAGTAGTAAAAATAGACATACTCTTAAACAACCTGTTGAAGTTGATGAAAAACGTTGAAAGTATTCATCTTAATCTTTCTGATAATTTGGTATCCTTTGATGCATTCCCATTGTTTACCAGAGTTCCGGTGAAAGATACTATTAATTGTTTTCAGGATAGATTAGTTCAAGTTTCTACTATTCAAATTGTTTACCCCATTAATTTAATTACTGTATATCAAAACTTTTTTTTTTCAATATTCATGAAAAATACTATAAGCATAATATTGGACTATTCGTCGATTCCCATTTTTCACTCTCTTCTAATACGTTTATACGGATAATTTTGAACATATTACTTTTAAAAATACTTCTTTAAAACCTAATCTAAATTTTAGATTAGATTCGTAGATGACACATTCTTGGTGTGGTTATTTGGGAAAAAACTGAGTTAAAAAAGATTGCTGATTACATTTTATGCCTGTTCAATTTAATATGAGATTGAACAATATAAATGTTTACCATACTTAGATGTATTTTATAGAAATAAATAATAATGAACGTATTTCAACAGCTGTTTATTGGAAATCATATCAATCTCCCTACCCACTTTCTAAAAAACTTTCAATACTTACATAGTCAGAGCATTTAAAGTTTGTTCTGAGACAACCAATTTGAAAATAAACTAAATTAGATAAAAAGCATAGCTGATAATAGATGTTTTAATATTGACATAATTGAAGTATAATATAGGAAAACATATAATTCAAATTTTATAATGGTTTTTGTTTTTGTTGAATCTCGCGCAAAGCTATTCAAGGGTTATCTGCGCTAGCCATCCCTAATTTTGGAATGATAAACTAGAGGGAATGCTTGTTTGTTTGTTAATTAATTTGAGAGTAAAGCCACATTGGGCTATCTGTTGTGTCCACCACGAGGACTCAAATCCCGGATTTTAGAGTTGTAGATCCGTTGACATACCGCTGTCCCACCGGAGGACAGAGGGGGGGGGGCATTTAAACAACACCATCCACTGCCAACTCTTGGCCTACTCTTTACAAACGAATAGTAGGATTGACCGTCACATTTTTACACACCCACGGCTGAAAGGGCGAGCATGTTCGGTGACAGGCCATGACCTGTAGGTTATAATTGAAGAGCCATAACCACCAGCCCATGAAAGACCATTTTATAATGAAATGTTCACGATTAAACAGTGCTTGTGATAAGAAAATTAATATTATAGCAACATTATCATATATATACAGAGGTTGACAACGCTATATTAAAACTATTTTGTAGCCTCACTACGTCGTTACAGTTCATGCCGCCACGTTCTGTCACGTTCTGTCTTATGACCGTGCATCTTGACAATAACGCTGCAGCAAAGTTTCCAATTCAAAAAGTCTCCGTCGTAGGACTGTCATGTCAAAAGCACCATTAAGCCTTGTTGCTTTCCATAATCTATCTAATGTAGGAAGACACAGTTTCACAGTGCCCGTTTCAACATTACGATCATATAGAAATATATTGTGGATTTAAACTTTATGTTAAATTTTCTGCTATAAATTAAATAATTCATTGATACTTAAAAATGAAGGATTATCTGATGTAATGAACAGTTTATTAATAATATATATAAATATTATTTAGGCATATCACTGCGATCTATTTATCACATATAACTGGGTCAACTGAGACTGCAGGTATTCTATGAAATAAAAGATCTGATGATCCATCAGCAATAGTATAGCAGTTAACTATACAAAAGAATTTTTGAAATATTTTTCTAAATAAAAGGCATTATTCTTCGGTATACTTCGCATGTGTTAATATCTTATCTCCATCCAATAGGCGTCACATTCCTCTAACCGAAAGTGTTTGAAACGTCACTTGGACAACACTACTTAAAATGTAGGCAACTTAAAATTAATTAAAATTCGATATATATTTTATATACAAAATGGTTACTTTATGAGTCGTTTTTTTACTTAACATGACTCAAAATAGAAAAAAAAATAACGATAATTAAATGTAGACTTTAATATATTCGATACACCAGGTCACAAGGCGATGAAAACTCACAACAGATGTCCTGGACGTCTTTCAATCTGTTGGGATGAAAACAACTTTTTGTTTAATTTGAAGAAACTATTCGGACAACTACTTCTAGTGGTTTCGTAGTCGCCACATGCATTACAGTAAGGTCAACGGAGAAAATCTCTTCCTTGCGATAAATCTCACTAATATAATCAAATTTAAAAATGAGAGTCAAACTAATGTTGAGCTTCTTAGTATTAATGCTTTTCTGGTCCACAAACTCGTTAGATTATTCAATACTAATATACACCCCTGTAAAGCGCAGTGATGGGAAAGAAACACACGATAAACTAATAGAAATAAGTAATCAAATGGAGTGAAACTTTATTCGAACGCCCTAAAAAAGATACGGTTTTAGATATTCTTCGCAACTTAAACTAAATTATTTTTTGTCGAGTGATTTATTAATGTGTGTAATTATATCAGATGAAGGAGATGCTTGAATCACTGTAGTTTTATTGAATTTTCCCTTTCCAAACACTTTCGTTTATAAAGTTATTTTATTTGACAAAAAGATTCTGAATGTTTCATTAGAAAACAAAACAACGATGTATAAGAGAAGATCTGGAGAGTAAAATGACAATTTTGAAAGCATTTTTAAATATCAACTCATAGTAAAATAATCTTAAATGTAGATATCATGAATTAGTGATTACTACTAATATTTAAGAATTCTATTTACAAGAATCTTTTGATTTTTGTAGAAAATTTGTAAAGTATTAATATTAACATTTCACATTCATTTAGATAATTTATTAGAAAAAAAGAAAATATCTAATGAAACAATTTATGGCACACAATAGCTTTTCCATTTATATTAATACATATAAAAAACTCTTAATTTATCTATATAAAAAGGAGCTTCGTTGAGATAAGTAAGTCATATAAATCAAACTCAAAACTCAAAAATAGTTTTTGTATAGGTTTTTAAATAAGACATTGACATAAAAAACATAAAATATATAGTTTTTTTTCTAACCTGCTGAACCCAGACGTTTGTTGTCATAATCTGCTCCTTCAGATTCTGGAAATAAAACAGAAACATTAGCAAAATTACAAAAGAAAATCGAATCCTATAAAATTGCTTCTCTAAATTAAGATGTATTAAGTAATACATTGTTCTTGGTAGTATTGGTATTAACATACACACACACACACATACATATAAATAGATATCAGTATAAAACTAAAATGAAAAGAATAGTGCTGTATTTTTCTATGAAACCTTCCTTAGAAACTCTGTGGTGTCATGATTCACTGACCAGATTTGTTTTCTATTATTAATATTCCTCCGAATTTCGATTTGTCTTCAAAATGAACAGAGTATCGGGATTTTCAATATTATTGTTTTCTAGTCCACTTCCTACTTGTTATGTACTAACTATAAAGAGTAAATAAAAGTAAAACACGAAAAAGAAAAGTATACAATATACGAGTTGCATGTGCAGTAACATTGCATTTTAAATATCTGTACTAATAGAAAATAAATCCATTGATGTTTACCTAAAACAAATATTGTTTAAAATTAAAAAAATAGAATATTTATATATGAATATTCGCATAAAACAAAATTAATTTATAAATGTACAGCAACTTGGATTTACTTGTCATATATTACTCTTCTTCTAGTTGATGTTTCTTAGGCAACATTTAAATGAACTTATTGATTTATGTTTACTGTGTGCGTAAACTCACTTGATACATAGGATTACCCTGGAAATCCGGGTCGTGTACCTGTGATAACTGAAAGCTAAATTTCGGGATACGGAATGCTGTCTGAATATTCAATATTTAGTAAATGTTTTGCCAATTTGCAAACCAGTAGAGGTAACTTTCTTAAAGAACTGATGAAAAAGCTTATATAATTAACGATTAGTTTAACTGGTTTATTTTATGTGTACCTGTGACAACTGAAACTACCGAAGAAAGTTAGCTTTTATTATCTGGTTTACTCAACCACATTTTCAGCGGTATAATATTTCAAACATTCTTCTTCAAAACATGCACAAAATTAGAATCATGAGTACAAGGATTTAAATATTTCTTTACTAATTTATCAAAAGTATATAAATGTTCATGTAACAAAATCTATTTAGGCTTCGTAAATGAAGAATTTATTTAAATCAAAACTGTAATGTATCGTAGAAGCCCCCCCAGTGGTACAGCGATATGTCTGCGGCCTTACAACGCTAGAAACCAGGTTTCAATACCCGTGTTGGGCAGAGCACAGACAGCCCATTGTGTAGCTTTGTGCTTAACTTTAAACAAACTGTCGTAGAATTCCTTTAATATATATGTGTATATTGAAGAAATAATTGAAATTACAAATTTTTACAGAAGCAATAGCACCAGAGAGTTGATAAACGAGTATGCTTACGCTTTTTGTTTTGTATTTTACCTTCATGAGTCTCTCACAGTAGGGTCAAGCTCGACATAAAGGTTAGCATGTCGGACTGTGATCTGAGATTCCATGATTCATGTCCCACTACCGCTAACAAAAAAATGCTTTGGAGCGTTATAAGAGTAATAGTCAAATCCCACAATTCATTCTGACGGTACTTTGTATTGTCATCACAATTTTAAGTGTCTTCGTAAGACCTTTAACTAAACGAAACACTAATAACCAACTTATACGTAGTTATGTACCACTGGCGGTAGATCGCGACGTAAGCTAATTTTGTTTAAGTTACATGATTTTCTCCGTGAATTAAGCTATTATTAACATTTCTTATTTAGCTTGCATGCATATTATAAATTTACAAAAGTAAAATTTAACTGAAAGGTATAATGTGTAGTATATATTTATTTTTTTCTTTAGTGTCTTTGCTCCGATTATATTACTTAAGTTCAAAGTTTGTAGATAATTAATTGCTTTTATAACATATTATTATGCTAATTTCTAAAGTATATTAAAACGTTGTTTCGAGACCGCATCAGGAATCTGAAAGTTTACTTGAAAACCCTAAATCTTTACTTCAAAACTACTAAGAGAGTGAAGCAAAAAGCAGAAAATATATCGTAAGTACCTCAGCAAATGGCGTCCAAAGTTCCTGTGTAGTTTGTCTAATAATGTGTTATGTATGTAATGATGATGTTAATATATCATTATCATGAACAGAAAAATGAATGATGAGAACAGAACGAGTAGGTGTCGTCTTTTTTCTTACAAGAATGACATCAATTAGAGGTACCTTACAAGCCATTTAAAAAATTCATTGATTAATATATAAAAGGTAAAATTTATTGCGAAACGAAGTGGAAGTCATTATACCTAAAACATTTTCTGCACATACCGTTTTAATTATTTATATATAAATTATAACCTGAGCAAAAAATGTAGGCATAGCCTATCGATGTCTTCAGTTCTACAGACAAAAACATCTGAACAATTTTGAGAAAAAAAATCTAACAAAAAATTAGTGTCCATGTGCAAGGTGTATGTCATTACAATTATTTTTCAATTTAAGGAATTCGGTAATGTTCATGTAGGGTACATTACAGATCAGTCATTTCCCATCTCTTTAATATTTACAGTTTCATTTGTAGGAATATAACATTTTCGATAGGTCTGGAGCAACCATAGATATATTTGCAAGACATATTCATTTAGGTCTGCAAGCCAATAATATCGCCGTTGGTATCAGGACAAATTTGCTAAGAGATTCCAGAATATGCCTCGTGATATAAAAGCTTCGTGTTCGAGAGACCGGCTTCTTGCGTTTAATTGAGCAGTTGTAAGTGTTGACGAAATCACAAAGATATCAAACCGAATCAAAGTATTCCAAATCTATACGATATATATGGATAAATCAAGAAATCCACATCATTAAAAAAAACTGTAGAAACTTTCAACAAACATTAAACTGAATTTTACTTTACGTTATTATTTAATAGACTGTGAATCTTGACTCAGTTTGACTGTTTGTCATAGCACATCCGTGACAGTTCGGCCTCCAATACGGCATAGCCTTCACGAATATTTATATAATTATGTATATTACTTACACACACGTTCTCTCCTGCCAGAGAATGGGCAATGACGACCAAACGGCAGACAGTCAACAACCTCGAAAGTGAAGATAACCGTACATTTTAGTATATTAACCGTTATATGTGCACAACGAAAGAATGGAGGCCTCCGCTAGAGTTTTTCTAGCCATTTCGTTAGTTTTATGTTGCTATATAGCAGTTTGCAACTGATATTGTTGCAGCCACTTTTGTACAGACGTTTGTTTTCATCAGGAAAAACATTATCTTGGCAATCCTCTGCCAGAGGATCGGAGGGGGTAGATTTGGCTTAACACATTTTCTTATCTAAGTCAGCTATAACAGCATGTAGAGTGTCGTGCTAGGAACAATGGTCGTTATCCAGTTAGTTATGTGACGAAACGCTCATGAATAATGATCTCAGACTATTTATTAATGCCTAAAATACTCGATAAACAAATATCTATATTATTAACATATGTCATGTGAGTTATCAGAAGCTTATACTTTAAATTTTTACCTCAAGTACGCATGATGCAGAGCATTCAATACGCTGAAATGTATCAACCGCCCCTTCAAAGAAAGCCATAAGAAGTGTCTGCTACAATTTACATTAATTTGAAATACATGTAAAACCCACAGTGCATCAGTTGCAGTGTTTCTTTACTAATATTGGATGGAACAAATAGAATGTAGCGTAATTAGCTCTGATACTGAAACTCTATAATACAACTGATAATAACTCTGATACTGAAACTCTATAATACAACTGATAATAACTCCGATACTGAAACTCTATAATACAACTGATAATAGTAAAAAGTTTTTTATTTGGGTAGTTAAATCCCGATAAGATTTTTACATTTATAACTCTTTATTACATAATAAAAAAGTCTCTTCCACTTTTTTTAGAATAAATCATAGTGTTTTTGGTTATTGATATGTTTAATTACGTTTTCCGTCGTCACAATACCTAAGCGACGAGAAATGTATTTTTTTTAAATTTTGGAATGATTTACAACTGTGTGTTATGTAAGTTTACCATCGCATGGGCGATCAGTAACTTGTGTTATCTTCAAGAACTAGCTTTATTCACACGTATATTAAAGCATAAAAGGTTGATATTTCACAAAATTCACTGTCTGAGCTCGCTTTTAGAAATTTTTCAAAATACGTTTGCTTCTAAAACTGAGCATATTTGAATAAAATGTTGAGACCAAGAACTATCGCTTAGAGGAATGGGATTGTTGTGATTCCAGTTTCTTGAGCCATTTTTTTTATAAAAATAGTTGTTGATTTTAAGATATGATTGAAAGTTGCTGAACTATTTGCTTACAAGTCTTTGGCAACTTTGAGTTTTTGATTTTGTTTTGCGTATTAATGGTATTACGAGGTATGCCAATCTTCATTGCAATGGATATCTGAATTGAAAGGTAATCATAGTCTTTATTTTACAGATGACAGTATTGCTCCGAATTGGCTTGAGATGTAGTTTTGGAGGTTGTTGTTTTTTCAAATATTTAGCTGTCCTAATTGTTCCGTTTTCCTGGAGAACAGTGAAATGATGTGTTCTTTAACTTTACATCACTTAGTAATCTTGCTATGAATATTTTTCCTCGGAAATAACTTTGACATATTCTTCCAACCATACATCAATCGCAGCTGCATTGAACTATCTAATCAATTGGATATATATACGTGGTTAACATTCCTTTCATTGAATCATACCACTATGCATATAATTTTAATAAAATCCATTAATCTTCTGTACGTGTGGGTAATTGGCAAGCCTAAGAAATACAACCACAATGATATGACCAATAAAATAATTTAAAGAGGTTGAGTACGATATATTAAAACAATTTTGGAGCTTTATCACGTCGTTAGAGACCATGTAACCACGTTCAGTCATGCTCTATCTGACAATTGTATATACTGACAATACTTCTACAGCGTAGCTTCCATCACAAAGGGCTTCATCGTAAGGCTGTCGTGACCAAAGCAAACAACACCTTCTGCATGCTTTCCGAAATCAAT